AAAAGGACAACAATCCTGGCATAAACACAAATGGCAAATTACAGTAAAACATACCCTTATCAATACAACATCGCTGTTTCGCATCACTTCCGGTTTGTGGGGGAAAAAGTACTGAACATTTATCAACACGACATGTTGTTGAGTGAGAAAAGGTTAATTTCTTCAACGTGAAAGTTCGGGAACAAGAATTGGGCAAAGAGTTGAGTAGTAGGTAGTTGATGTTGGAAAACGTTGTTCAACGAATATCCTATGATTCGTTTCTAGAAGGTTCGAGGACCTTTTACAGTACTGTAGTTTAACCAAAAATTAATTGATGTCATAATGACAGCTGTGCTCCAGTTTAAAGGAATTCTAAATATGACTAAAGATGGCTTATGTCAAATTTCTTTTACGTTCCTTTTCCCTCTCCCTTTCCCTGTAACTGTCATAAGCTTTGCTTGACCTATTTTTAAGCACAAAATGATTGCAAAGAGATTTGCTGCTTCATCTTTTCAAGTTTAACGCAAAGGAAAATATGCTTAGGCTTCATTTATGGCAAATTATATTACATTTGAGAAAGAAAAGCTTAATCTTGTTCACTTCATGTTGATCAATATTTTCTAATTCAAGCAGTTAAAGAACAGAATTTGCAACATCCTAATCTTTATTAATTGTGTTAGAGAATCCTGAAAAAAATGTTTAAAACATAGTAAAATATGAAATTTCTCTAAAAAATGTTTGGCAATATGTACAATTTAGGACTATTTACTTTTCATGGATAATATGTATATATATGTGCTCAAAAATTTCTCATAACTTATAATTTGGGTCATTCAATTCCTATTTTTATGTACAATGGCGGATATCACGGATTTAAGCAATCAGCTAACGTTCTTCTTCTAGAAGCAGACGGTATGTGTGGAATGTCGCATGTGTAGATCCTTTGCGATCATCTCGGCAGTGATTGGATGCATAGAGGAACGAGTTTTGATATACGCATCACGCGCACGACTTCTAGCCGCTGGCCAAGCTGTTAGGTCTCTAAATAAGCTGTGGATAAGCACTTAAATCCAAAAAAAAATCAGAAATTTTAATAATCAATTTTTAATAAGAAACGAAGTTATCAGGTTAGTTATTATACTATAACATGCTGATATATTGATGTTAGACAAGCTTCATTCGGTAAAAGGAGTATATTTACGTAACCTGAGATGAAATTAGGAGGGAAAGACCTGAAAATGGATACGGTATACTTATAAGATACGCAGTGATAGTTATGTCTTGAAGATGAACAGGCGACTTGAACTGCACCACGAAGTGAAAAACTTCCTGGTAATTTTTTTTCCGATGAAAAAAGATGTTTATAGTCCTTCATATGCCAGTGGCAGTGCAAAGGATTGCTTTTTGTCGAAAAAGGGAACAAAAACTTGGAGACAAGATTTTGTGCAAGATTGCAAGCCACAAAAAAAGGACCGTGCTGTAATTCTGGAAAGGAAGGAGTGGCGGGGGGAAGGGGGACTTCATAAAAGAGAACGTAAAATTTGCCTTAACCTCTCCTAGTCGCTAAATGTGTATTTGACGTTTTTCTAAGATTTTTTTTCCGCTAGGAGTGCAATTTGTGATTAGGAATAAGAAAAAAAAGGTGAAAAGGGTCGAGATGCTTAGCTCATTCACTAAAACGTTCTCAATCAACTAGTAATAATGCTTTAATTGTG